AAGCCTGTGTAAAAAGGGTTTAGGGTCTAGGGTTTAGGGATTTAGGGTTTAGGGTTTAGGGGAAGTGCTCTGATCGCAGGGAATCGCTACAGTCCCAGCAACAACACTGTTTTATGGACACGTGCCAGTACTGCTAAGGGCTCTTCTTTGTAATTCCAATACAGTCTACCGAGTCTACCCTAAAATCTTGTAATGTAGCCAAGCGGCCCGCAATCTACCCCAACACTTTACAATTTTTGCCAAAACCCTATTCTAATTGTTGTCTGACCCAGTATTATTCGGCTCCTAGTGGTTCCTTGATGTGGTCTCCAAATTGCGCGGTTTCAATGGGCTTGTGCGTTTTTGCAAAGCTTAGTGTTTAAGTTTCAGGGCTTTCTGGCTACCGCACGGTGCTCTTTCATTGTTTGGCAACGCCTTGCAAGGATATTGAATTCTGTCACCCGCCTCCCAGGCCTTGCTGCTCATCCCAAACCCGTGGACGGCATACCCCTACGTCAATAGCAAAACAATCCTAAACTCTATAACAGAACCCTAAACCCTAAACTCTAAAGTTACTATGAACCCTATAACAGAACCTGCAGTCTATCAGAAGGGCCTTTCACATGGAGAGGCCTCTAGTTTTCGCAGCCCGAAAGCGGACCCCAAAGCATCGTCGTGGTCATCCTGGTCGTCTTGGTCGTCGTGGTATCGCTTGTTGGGGTTCATCTTGGCAAAGCGCGTGACAAAAATAGTGATAAATAGTGGCATTACAGAAGGATTAAGTGTAAGAGGAATTAGGCTTCTTCTTGCCAAGGGCCACAGAGCAGGTTTCACGAACGACGAATGAAAAGCAAATACTCGAGAATGATAAACCTCACCATGAGAACCATAAATCTGGTCGAAATGAGAATAATCGTAAATAGGAAAAGTAGTAGGGATATCCAGCTGATCCCTATAGTACTAAATTATTATTGCTAGAATGCTCAAACTAGCAGCCGTAATCGTACCACCTACTGGTAAACCTCAAACACGAAGTGCAGTCTCTCGCTTATCCTGCCTGGCGACTCGTTCAGCAATGAGGCACAAGCCCCTGCGCTTCTGAATAGAGAGAGCCACATACCTAAACCCTAAACCCTAAACCCTAGACCCTAAACCCTAAACCCTAAACCCTAGACCCTGAACCCTAAACCCTAAACCCTAAACCCTAATCTGAGACTTCTTTGGCTTCCTCCTTCTTCTCGCCGCGGTTGGGCTTCAAAGTCTCCTTCGAGGAGCCGGAGGGATTTGAGGGGTTTGGGGTTTAAGGTTTAGGGTTCAGGGTTTCGGGTTTCGGGTCTGGGGTT